TATTGCAGCCATTTGGACAAAACACATAAAAAGTTTTCCGTTTTTAGTTGAAAACGGTGTCATGTAAACACCCACTAAGTCCCTTTTTTTCTAGCTGAACATAGTTTTTCTTGAAAAAAATTCAGAATACGCAAATAAGTGGGTTGTGAAAGGCATTTCACATTGGCTTTATGAAGGATGATTGCATTTTCAGGCAAATAATGGCAGAAAGACAAGTTTTCACTATGTTTTCTAATTAGCATTCATACTTCACACTCATTTGTAGCACCTCTGATAACAACAGTTGCCCACTTATTTGTCTCACTTCTGCCCTGATTTGAAATCATTATGAGGCGTATTGACGGAATGCAGACAAATACATCAAAGAGAAGGTCGGCAGAAAATTAAGGTGTCTGCTTCAGCCCACATCAAAATGGCAAGTACACGAGTTCATAAAAAGCTTTCTGATGAAAAACAAGCACAAGAATATGGACAGCATGTCAACCGACGAGTTCTCCAACTGCAGACAATGAGACGAGACTCTCTGGCCTGAACTTAATGGACTTCAAACAAGTTTACATTTCCCAAGCTGTGGCGTATTTGGAGTAATTTGAAATGAGCACGCCGGCCAGGTGTAATATCAGCAGCGATGCAGGCTCTGCTGTGATAGTGCTGATGGAGCTCTGTGGGTATTTCTCTAATGATATGGAAACCTCTGCTGCTCCACGTTAGCCGTAGGGGATGTTTAGCTAGCGTTAAGCTTTGGACCATGTCCAATGTGCCTCGCTGGGAGACGTGTCAGGAGCTCCAAATGAATTCAGGACAAGTAAGGGTTTGTAAATGAAGCTTGTCGTACTGCGGCATGCACACAAATATCACCTTGTCGAGAGGTGAACAATTAGCAAAAGCACTGGCGTTGTAAAGTGTAGGGATTTTGCTATGCCACGGCATTAATATTTGTGCAAATGTCAGTGAGTAGGAATTTTTCACATTAATTACATGTGAAAAACAGGGAGTAAAATATGGAGTGGGATGTGTCAATTCTAGATTTGAAAGTGGGTTCAGAGTCTATGCTTATTAATGTGAAGCAAAAAAATAAAAATTCTAGATTCTATCTTTACAGTGTATTGAGTTATTTTGCAGGCTTCATGCAAAAACTAACACGAGCAGTGCAGTCTGATTCACAAACAAATGGCTCTAATAAGCCAGTTATTTTCAAAGAGTTAAACATACAGCTCAACCACACAGTTCAATTTATAAAAATAACCATGACTCATACGAGTTGCTTTTAGTGAATCAATAAAGATACAGTGGAAGAAGTGTTACCGTACCCGATTTCCTGAAACGAATTACTCTTAAGAGCCATTTTTGTTGTGCTGAATAGTTCCAAAAGACAAGTTGCATAAGTTTAAAACACTGTCCTGTATAATCATTAACAAAGAAACAATTCCCTTCATACGTTCAAGCAAAATGGACATTACATTGCAAACAAAGCCAAATGAATCAAATTGAATCAAAACTGTAATCTATATCAATAGCAAGCCTGTTTTAAATATTAGCTTCAGCGTTTTGTACAGGCTCTCTAAGCAGACATGGTGATGGAAAAAAATATATAAGAAGGGAGGAAATATACTTTTGTACCGTCTTGCAAAAGTATTGCGATTCCCTGAAAAACTTTGCGTTATTTTGCAAAACATTTGCATTCTTTCGCACACTTATTGCGCTCCCCTGAGAAACTCTGTGTTCACTCGTAAAAGCATAAAAATTGTTTGTCGTCCCATCTCATATTATTTCCACCACAAAAGTTTCTCAGGGGAAAGCAAAACTTTTGTGAGAGAATGCAAAAGAATATAATTTTAGTTACCATCACCATGTCCCTGTAGGGGCCCCATAGTTTTATCTCTTTTTATTTATTTGGTTATTTTTACCTTAAGTGTTACATAAGTCAATTTTTTAGAAAGCATTGACTTAATTAGATTATCCAAAAATGAACCTTTCTGATTTCCAGCAAATACATGATATATATATATATATATATATATATATATAATGTGCATAGCGTGGATACAGCATCCCTAGAATGCAGGAATAAAAAGCCCTGGAAAATGATGCCTGCCCATCTCATGAGGTCTGACGTATATTTATCTGACGCGAAGTAGACATGTTTAAGGAACGCTCTGCTAATACACAGTCTGCCAGTATTAGCCTGTGATTATTCTGATGACAAAGTGCGGCTCTATTAATCCAGACCACTAATTACAACTCTTCGCAGCTTAACAGAGCCCAACAAAGCTGCTCATTACAGGACGTCCCCGAAGGTAACAAATTATTTAAATTGCATTTCTTTAATTGGAAAATCATAAACAGTGGAGCAGGCAGGGAATTTGGCGGGTATGCTGCGGGTGTATCCAGCTGGGCGAGCGATGGGGAGAGAGTGAGATGAGGGCTCAAGAGGGCAGAGGAAGACACTCCAGCTGCTGGCGTCACACCCACGGCCCAGCAGGCACTGATTAACACCGGTCATATGAGACCACGGAAGGGATTGAAATCCTCAAAAAAAAACTGTACAAAAGAACAGTCAAACTCTGTGAAAGTAACCATGACGGATTTAAAGGAGCAGGAGCCCATGATTTGAGATTTTGTAACTGTAAAGCAAATAGTTTAGAAGGAATCACATGCAGAAGTGAATTACTTAGGGTTAGGGGCTTGTTTGAATCCCTAACCTTAAGTATGAGCAATAGTAATAGTGATTCTTGAAACAAATGGCTCTTATGAGCCGATTCTTATTAAATAGTCAGTAAGATTTAAAACCAGTCAAGATTTATTGGTTTGAACTGGTTTAACACCTCACTCACTGTGTTGCTCCATATTTAGGATCAGGTCACATCTTAAGGCAAGATACTACAGGTAACTAGAGCCCGACCGATATATAATTTTGCCGATTTTATCGGCCGATATGAGCCTGTCGCAGATATATCGTATCGGTGAATATGCCACCGATATGAAATTTTTTTACAGAACATAAAACGCAGATAAAATGCTTGTAAATGATGTAATTACGTAGTTTGTCCAGTAGAGAGCGCTCCATTGTTTGCTACTGGCGACCTGTTTGAAATGCATTAAAGCTAACGTGTATGGAATACCATTGAAACTTTGAACGTCCAAATCTCCGTAATGGAGAATGCCGAATCGAGAGTACGTCTCGAGGCCCCATTTCGAATGAGACCACCCCCACATCGTTAGCCCCCGGGGTCCGGGAGTTACGGGAGGCTAAGTTTGCGGTCGGGCGCCAACCGATCTGGTGATCCCGGTTGGCTACTGACGTGCGGAGGGTGGCGTTCGAGAGGGCTCCTCGAGCTGAAGGGATCCCCCGAATTTGGTGGAGATCCGCTACCGCATTCGTGAGATAGTGACACCAGCTAACACTTTCACTTCAGTAAGGAGGTCTCTTGTTCAGGCAGCAGCATTCAAACGCTGTCTTATTCGACCGTAAGTGCCCTGAGAAGTGGACTTCACATGATATTCCGCCATGATTCCAGTTCCAAGGGAACGTACACGTTACATTCAAAGGAATGAATGTTCCGAAGTTAAATAAACTTCAATGGAATAAAGTTGAATGGAATTGAATTGAAATAAAGTTGAATAAACTTCAAATGTACTGTCCAGTGCACTGATGTCAGACTCATGTTGGACAATAAAGTTTATTGTTCAATTGTTAAATGCCCTGCCTCCATTACATATCTTTGTTACGTCATTATAAGTGTTTGATCACCACATTTGAGTGATCATTCCAAAAAAATTATTATGTATATATATTCTGTTTACTGTATTCTATATATAGTACCAGTCAAAAGTTTGGACACGAATGGGAAAGTGTCCAAGCTTTTGACTGGTTCTGCACCATAATGTACACAAAGAATATTGGGCAATATATCGATATCAGCCTTTTTTTACTCCCTAATATCGGTATCGGCCCCCAAAAAACCTGTATCGGTCGGGCTCTAGTAATAACATTCCATGATTAATCTACTGTGGAAAGTTTCAGTTTCAATTGTTTTAATTGTCTTCATGTACTGGGGTTAATCAACTGGGGAAAGTACTGTATGTTGATATCTATTAGTTTTATATTAGTTTCTATTAGTATTAGTTCGTATTTTTACCGTTCACCTATAATGTCTTGCCTAAGTTGCAGTCACATTTAACATTGTTTTTTGCAGTCAAAACCCAATAATTTGAATAGAAACACATGCAAATGGGAAAAAATAGGGCAAAATATTTCCCAACACAGATTTTGCAACATTTTTGCTCTCAAAATTTTGCTGTCTGGAGAAAGATGCACAAAAACTGGAAAGAAAGTTCCAGAGAACTGGAATGCTGCCATTCAGAAAGTTGTACACATCTCCTGCCTCTTGCATTTGTTAATTATTTTGGTTAATTTGATTATGCCTTCAGGTCCACAGTTTAGTATTCTCATGTCTCACAATTCACCAAAACTCAATTTTTCTGAAGTCATATAATAGCTTTGTGTGAAGAATGGCTCAGAGATGATGATTTTTAGTAAATAACAGAAATGTTGGTATGTTTCTCGTAAAAAAAAAAAGAAAAAAAAAAAAAAGACCCAAAATATATTGCACAATATTACTTTTATGAAACTTGTATGATGCTTTTGTATCTTTTATGAAACTTAAAATAATTATAACAGGTTTAAAAGATGCCTTTGCGATTCAGTTTCATTTTTCATGTGTTGCAGAAAAAGTCATGTGGGCTTGCAAGCGACAGGAGGGTGGAAAAATGACTTACAATATTCATTTCTGGGTGAATGACTAATTTAAGTCAACAACAAGTGATGAGAGATCAGAATAGTATAACCACAAAGTTACGCTCTTAAACTCTGAAGTATAAACTTCAGGACTTCATCTTCTGTGACTCCAGAGGGCAGAAAGCAGCTGCAGAGCAAATAGTTTAGAGATCAAACAGCAAGGAGAACAAGTAGAAAGAATTTTGAATGTTTGTGGTCTTACCTTTACTTGACCCACAAAAGCATTTTCCTCTTCCTCTTGAACTGTAAGATTAAGGGGCAGCAGAAGACCGAACTCAGGGTCATTATCATTGACATCAGTCACCATTATATTCACCGTAGCGGTCGAGGTCTGAAAACAAGAAACCTTCAGGTTACTTCAATCATTACATGGATGCCTCTAAATAAAAACTTTCCAGAGTTTCAGTTAGTAATCCAACGATGTCAACAAATCTGAAATGCGGACCTTTAGGCCTCTGTGTGATTTTGTCTGTTAATTATGAAGGTATTTTTGGTGCAAAACAACTGAGTGTCCGTGACAGCAGAATTTGTAGTTGTAGAGAATAGCCACACATGTATCAGTAAATCTGGTCACAGACAAAAGTTGCAAACTTGTAGATTTTTTTTTCTCTTCCACAAACACAACACAACAGTTACACCTTCTTGAATCCTTCACTGCAGGTGCACAAATCCTATTCTACGAATCACAAATCAAGAAACTCGTACGCTCACATGTTTTGCTACTATTGCTGCAGTGAATATGGTGCAAAACACATTCACACACCTGCATCAAAAAAATGTGAAGTCACGGACAAATTTTGTACATCCGCAAATCAGTTTGTGAATTCTTGCAATGAGATTTGCACGCTTGTAGAATGTTTTCTTACATATATTTTTTTTTTCTTGGATGCTTTTTCTAGCACAAACACAAGTGCATAACTACAACGGCGTGAATCTGCTGCTATGAGTCTCAAACACTGTTTTTCGCTTGCCAAGTTGCCAAATGACAAGTTTCACGCTCTCTCCCTTATACACCACCTATCTGTGTGAAAAATGGTGCAAAAGTGATTTGTGCATCCTGGATACAGTGGACTACCAGTAAAATTGAATTGGGACCAAAACTTTTATTTGACACTTTGACCTGACCATATTTGTGTTTGTCTTTAATTGCTAATGCGACCGTTTTACACCACAGACTGAAAAAAATGAAGCATTGCTTGGTAATTGGTTGAGCTAAATTGGTTTTATCTAATTGTGTGCTTAAATTTAACAGCTGACAGCTATTCAACCGAATTCATTACATACCTTTCTATCAAAGTTATCTGACATTACCAAGATAAATTTGTAGGATTTGTGCACCTGCAGTGAAGGATTCAAGAAGGTGTAACTGTTGTGTTGTGTTTGTGGAAGAGAAAAAAAAATCTACAAGTTTGCAACTTTTGTCTGTGACTTCAGATTTACTGATACACATGTGTGGCTATTCTCTACAACTACAAATTCTGCTGTCACAGACACTCAGTTGTTTTGCACCAAAAATACCTTCATAGGTAATGGACTGTCTTGGCATTCACAAACAATTATCCATTTCCACTGATTAATTTACACAGAACTTGCGAAATTGCTAACATATTTGCATTCATCATCAAGCTCTGAATGGGGTCTAATGAAAAAATATCCACAGCTGTTGAGCGGATTAGTGTTTCAGAGTATAGATCGCCTCAACAAATTGATGGCTGCAAACAAATTAGCATGCTGGCAGGGAGAATTCGGTCTACTCACTAACAACAATTAACCATCTACATTCACAATTCACAAAGTGTCTCATTTCTAAAGATGAGGAATGGAAAACATGACATTTAAACATTCATACACAGCAAACATATAATTAGCATACCTCTACTGTTACACATTTATTATGCAAATATAGTTTGACATGATTTTAGGGGAACACTGCAAATGTGTGAAACTAAGTAAAACTACCATGAAAACAACATTTTAGTACTTGTGTGTATATATATATATATATATATACATACATACACACACACACACACACATACGGAAATGTAGCAAGAACATCGGTAAAATAGTCCATGTGATATCAATGGTTCAACCGTAATTTTACGAAGCAACGAGAATACTTTTTATGCACAAAGAAAACAATAATAACAATTTATTCAACAAATATTCTCCCGAGTTACCATCTTCCGCCATTCTTGAGAGTATCCCAGAATGTAATCAACAATCAGCGTTGTTTACGTTCAGCATGCGCACCCTTTCTACTGAACGTAAACAGCGCTGATTACGTCGATTATGTTCTGGGGTACTCCCCAAAATGGAGGGAGACGGTAACTCGGGGAGAAGAATTGTTGAATAAATTATGTTATTACTGTTTTCTTTGTGCACAAAAAGTATTCTCGTAGCTTCGTAAAATTACGGTTGAACCACTGATGTCACATGGACTATTTTACTGATGTCCTTACTACGTTTCTAGACTTGGGAACATTGCAGTTGCATTGCTGTCTACAGAGGGTCAGAGAGCTTTCAGATTTTATCAAAAATATCTTAATTTGTGTTCTAAAGATGAACGAAGGTCTTATGGGTTTGGAACGACACGAGGGTGAGTAATTAATGACGGAATTGTATTTTTTTTATTATAAAGTTTAACAATATAGCCTTTTATAATTAAAATGTCAGTAATAACTATTCATTTACTGTATTAATATATACAGTAATAATTTACAGTAATGACTTAATTTTAAATGTATATAATGCCATAATCCAAAATATCTTAAGGGTTCTAAAATAATTCTCATCAAGATAACCTGTTAACCTGCACCCCCCATTTTGGGACTCACAGCTGAAAATGACCTACCTAACTTAAAATTGTTACAGTTCCTGACTTCAGTGTGCTACACACACACACAATGTTGGTGTCTTTGGAAAGGAGACTCTTTGGGCTTTACTTGACACTGAAGTGCCTTGAGAAAAAAAAAAAAAATTGTACCACACTGAATTTTTTATTTCATATAAATATACATTAAATCAGTCCAGGAGCAATCCAGAAAAGTAATGGGTTGAAAGTTTATATTTCAAATCTGAAGACGATACATTGAAAAATGAGATTCCTGCAACCATTTTTCTGAGACTATGTCTAGTCCCCCCATTACAGCTGTGGATGCGTTTATGACTCGTTATTACGATGAATCTGGTACGTACTGCGTTTTGATTATGCATGTTTTGATGTGTACTACTTACACAAATTTAGCAAATACATTCCTCATAAGCTTTCCATTGAAAAACAGCGATCTATCGTCGATGCTTGAGGCTTAGACCTTTAGAATTATATATAGTTTGTCAAGATTAATTTGGTCCCTTTTCATTGAATCTATTGGTAAACATTGACAAGTGCAAACAAAGAGCATTCAGTGCGCCGACGTCCAGGTGCGGGTTAACAGGATAACTACCTTCTTGGTTTTGATTTTGGGGTTAAATAAAACACAATTAGTAATGTTACTGACAGAAACAAACTGTCCAATTGGGACCAACTCAATATGTGTGTGTGCCATGCAGTGTTTTAATACAGTATTTTCAACCACTTAGAAGAAGCACATTGTCAGAAATAGCCTACTGGCTATGAAAGGGGTTAGGCACAAGGCATGTGATTTTTTCAGTCTTCTTTCTCACTCTCTACAAACAGCAAAAAAAAAAGTTTACATCAATCAATAAATCAATCAATCAATACCTTTTGACCACTTATGTTTTGTCTTTACACAAGTTATAGACTTCAAACACACACACACACAATATGATTTTGTGATTACTGTGAACAAATGTTTTTGCATCACGTCAGGTTATGTAGTGTAACTTCAGCTAGGTTCAATTCAGAAGCACCAGCCAATTCAAATTAGAGCTACACAGTCTACAGTGTGTGAAAGTTGATTCTGAGAACATTTCACACAAATGATTGCTTCTCCTCCTACCAGGCCTTCAGATGCTCTTACCAGACTGCACAAATGACAATTACATAACGAATCAAACAAAACAAATATTATTTCAAGAATGATCTGACAAGCGAACAAACAAGTAAATGAGTAAATGAACAAAAACAAATTAAACAAGTGAGTGAGTCAAGCTTTTTTGATGTTATCACCAGGTTGCACAAATAAACAAGCAATAAATAAAAGTGAACAGATCAGCAGTGTATCAGTGTGATCGATCATTAAAAACAAACTTCTTTTTGTGAAATGTTTTGCTCGAAATGTGTAAATGTGTATTTACATCCAAACATATGGGAAATTTGGATAAATAAACAAGCAGTCTAAGGTACTTCATCACAATAAATAACTAATTCAAACAATTAAAAGGCAAGCGATCCAAAACCCAGCATACTGAAAACCAAATGAAAACCAGGAATCCAGAAAGTAGGAGTTTTTCTCTCACAACATAGTAGCTTAGCCTCTTGTCAGATCATTCTGCATCCATTTGTGTTTAGTCAGAGTCAATCTGGTTTCTTCCCCTAAAACATAAAACATAAAACATAGGGGAATTAGCAGAAGGTTTTTCCCCTGCTGCTCGGACTTATTTGTTAAAGGTTTAAATGCTGGAGTATTTGGCAGATTGGTCCGGTAAATTTTTCATGTGCCGGCAATAAAGCTTGCCGAGTTTGCACTATGCTCAGGGGGTAAAATAAGGTAAGCTGATCCTGAGCTGAGACAAATGCACACAAGGTAACTCCGTTTGTCAACAAACAGGTTTACATCTTGTGATGAGGAACTGGAAGGATATCATAAATCTTTAAGAGAGAAAGACTATCTTGCAACTTCATTGCTAAACCGGTGTATTTCCATAATAAAATGGTACGAAATGTATTCTAGTTAGAACACTCACTTTGGACAGTTTGGTTCATGCATGCATGCATACATACATACATATATAAGAATATCGTGAAAAAGTTAATTTTTTGTAACACTTCAAAAAGTGAAACTTTTATATATTTTAGATTCATTACAAGTAAAGTAAAACATTTCAGAAGTTTTTTTTTTTTAATTATTATTATTTTTAATTTTGATGATTAGATCTTACAGCTCATGAAAGTCAAAAATCAGTTATCTCTTTTTCTTTGAAACCACAATAATGGGGAAGACTGCTGACTTGGCAATGGTCCAGAAGACAATCATTGACACCCTCCACAAAGAGGGTAAGTCACAGAAGGTCATTGCTGAAAGGGGTGGCTGTTCACAGAGTGCTGTATCAAAGCGTATTAAATGCAAAGTTGACTGGAAGGAAGAAATGTGGTAGGGAAAGGTATACATGCCACAGGGATGACCGCAAGCTTGAGAATACTGTAAA